GGCTGGCAGGCAGGTGGTGGCATGGGAGTGGCAGCCTGCCTGTTCTTCGTCTGTTCTTTCAGTGTATCATGATGTGGAGAAGCCTTCCATGGTCTAGGGGTTCTGTGTGCCAAAGTTTCAGCTCTCCCTGGTGCTTTACCTCAGCCAATCATGTCTCCAGCATCTCAGCAAGGTTCCTGATTCCCAGAGCTCACATATTCTGCATTTGTGTCCCAGTCACCATTTTGGATCCTCTCCCAAATTTTAATATGCTATGTTTTCACCTTCATTTGGTTCATTTCTAGTTGTTTTTGGTTTTCCTTTGAGAGTTTCTTTGATGCTTAAAATATTTAGAAGTATATTTTTCAGTTTCCAAATTGGAGGTATTCCTGTTATCTTTCTTTTATTGATATTTAGTTTGATTACATTGTGGTGGGAGAATGTACTCTGTGATTTCAATTCCTCAAATTTTTTTGAGGTTTTTCTTTTTTTTTTTGTAGCTCACGATATGGTTTGTCTTAGTCTATGTTTTCCGAACACTTTATGTTGCTGTCTTCTGTTTATTACCTGTTTTTTTTCTCTTATTTTTCATGACTTTCTGTGGGCTACCTGAATGTTTTTATAATTCTTTTTTTATTTATCTGAACCATTTTTGAATATATCTATTTATGTGGCTTTTAAAGGGTTGTTCTTGATATTACATTATATGTATATGTATACTTATTACCAGCAAAATGAGGTATACAACCCACATATCTTTTTACATCCCCAAACTTTAGTTTGTAATACAAATGTCATTGCTCTACATATACTGAGAAGCATATCTGTGTCAATTTCTTTTGTTTCAGCATGTGAATTCTGATAAGAAAGCTACTGTCATTTTAATTACTTTTCCCTTAGACTTAAGGGATGTTTCTCTCTCATTGCTACCAAGGTTTTTTTTTTTTGTTTCTTGGTCTTTCATTGTCAGAACTAGTTTTAGTTAGATTCATGTGAAGTTCTTTGGGTTTACCCTGTCTTCGGTTTCTTCAGTTCTTTGAATCTGTGGGTCAAGTCTTTGGACAACCTATTTCCTATGGTTCCTTTGAATATGCTTCTAGTTCAATTTCTTTGTCCTGATGACCTTACTGACATGAATGTTAGACTTTTTGTTATATATAGTCTCATAGGTCCTTGAGACTTTACTCATTTTTTCAGCCCATTTCTCTCTACTGTTCTCAGAAGGTAATTTTTCTCTTTAAATCCAGTTATTTTCTTCTCTGTCCCTTAAATTCTGCTGCTCTTTTTTCTGTTATAATACATTTCAATTCTCAAAATTTCCATTTTGCTCATCTTTATGACTTTTATTTATTTATTTAGTTACTTACTTATTTTTGCTGTTCCAACAGCATTGGGATCTCTTTTCTCACTCTTTTTGAGAAGTTTCTGGCTGTTGGTATTATGAATCATTTCCTATAGAAACATGGACTTTTAAGGTATTGTGTTTTGAAACTAGGCTTAACCCAAATCTGATGGTAATACTCTGGAAGGATAAACAGAGTGACTCTCATTACCTGGTTGGAGTAGAAACCCAGGTTCCAATGCAGCCTCTTTTGACCCAGAATAGGGTAACAGTAGAATTGTTCCTCATTACTGCTGTGTCAGGATGGTAGTTCAAGGTCATCAGTAGGAATTCACTGATTCCAACATGGATGGGAAGAGCAAGGCTGTCTTTCTACTGCTCCCAAACGATCTCCAGGGTCTCCATGATGGGGGATGTGGTAGAAGTGGCTTCTCTTCCCCTACAAGTGTTGTGGCACTATTTTACCACTAGTGGGGCTAGAAGTCTATGCTCTTCACATGGTCTCCACTGATACTATGAAGGGGTGAGGTATAGGGTTGTAAAAATCTAATCTCTCTTTGAGCTCTGGTGCAGTGGGGGGGGATAGGACCATGATTTTTTTCCTATGGTGTTAAGCTGCAATAGAACAGTTATTGACTAAAACATTTCTGTATTCCTGGGTCATTGTTTTTCTATACAAAACAAGCATTTCTTGAAGATTTCTTTGCCTATGTCAGCATTTCTAGGTTGCTGGCTTCTGTAGCATCCAGTCTGCAACTTGTGAAATAAAGAATAAACCCAGGGAACTAAATTCATTGTTGTTCCATAAGTCCCATGGCTGCCTGCTGGTCTGCCTTCTTCTTACTCTTAAAGTCCCCTCCATGATGTCCAAGAGTTTTAGCTATAGTTAGCAGGAAAAAAAAAATTTCTAATCCCATTTTCTAGAAGCAACAGCTAATGTTACTTTTGAACTGATTGGTTTAATAATATATCCATTTACTAATTCCAAACATTACCACTGCTTATTTCTATTTTTCGGTAAGACACTAGTTTTACTCCAAAGTATGCCTTATGAAAAAGATATGCTAAACATTAACTTTAGGCTGTGTCTAAGAGGAATTTGTTTGATGTTTCTACTATCCTAGGTTTGAATTCATTCTATCATTTGTCTTCCTACAAAAGCAAAACTAAAAAATAAACCTAAAAATCATATTTTTGAAGTATTATTATATAAAGTTTTAAAAATAAATTTCTCAATTTGGTAAGGCAAATACAGATTGAAAAATCTGAGGAAAAGTACTTCAAATGAAGACCTATCTGAACCTGAAGTCAAAGAAATAAGATCCACTGCTCTTGCAGTATATAAAGAAATAAGAAACAGCATACATATGACTTGAAATTCTTTTTCTGTTTTAGAAGTTTGACTGTACATACATATGTATACACAAAATATTTGTGTAGCGGCAAAGAGCATGAAGTGGAACTAAAGTTAACTTAAACAATACATATAAAGGTCTGAAAGAAGTACCTTATTTCTATGTCAATAGGAACAAAATGCAAATGAAAACATATTTGTGATGTACATTTGGTCAGTTGCTCTCATAAGACAACTCTTCCCTGAATCCATTCCAAAGACATGAAACTTTTATTTTTCACGTTTTTACTTCTCAAATAAGTATCCTGACTCACTGACTGGCTTCCTAAGTGTATTCTCCATGCCATGCTGTGTCACTTTAGTTGTGGTGACTGCTTTGTGACAGGTTTTCAGGGTTTGGTGACAATAAGAATCACCTGAGCTAACTTTTAAAACCGATGACCCTCTCAGCCTTATCCTTAAGGTAAGCTCTACCTCAAAAGCTCTACCTCAAAAGTCTGCTTTTTGCTGTTGTTGTTGTTTAGGGGGTGGTAGCAATACTGGGGTTTGAAAGCAGGGCCTTGCTCTTGCTAGGCAAGTGCTTTACCACTTGAGTCATGCCCCCAGCCAATTTTACTTTTACTAAATTTTCAGAAAGGATATGGACCTTTTTGCCTGTTGACGCCTCAGACCACAATTCCCTATCTACCTTTCTCATGCAGATGAGATTATAGATGTGTACCACCATGTGTGGCTTGTTTATTTAGATGGGTTTTCATTAACTTTTCACCCAGGCTAGCCTCAAATCCTCCCAATCTCCACCTCCCCAGTAATTGGGATTCTAGACATGAGCCATCATGCCTGACCTCAAAAGTCTGAATTTTAAAGAAATTCTTCATATAATTCTTATTCAGGTGGTCTACACACCACACTGTGGGAAATCACTGGAATATATGATCTTCATAGTCCTGTCTTTTCGTATTCTGTTTCCCTTCAGCTTTATGATCACTGTGCTTTTACATGAATCCTAGAATTTAGGAGAATCTTAAGTCAACCAGTTTATCCAGCACATTTACCCAGCCAAGCTATTCTGCAAGGATGTGTTTCCTAAAGCACAAATTTCAGTCATCCCAAGAAATGTGTTTTTTAAAGATGTCTATGTGACTAGACACCCCAACCCAGTTTAAGGACATCTGTGAGAGACACTCACAGAGTGTCAACAAGAACCTAGCAAGATGATTATTTTGTAAAACACTTTTAGAATGTTTACGCTTGGTATAGAAGAAATCTGAATTGTAGTATTTCTTAAAGGCTTATATAACTAAAAGAAAGCCTTGGGTTAAAAGAATCCTATATTTTTACAGGTTGTATAGTTATTCCTAGGTATCCATAGAGAGTGGTTCCAGGATCCCTTATGGTTACTGAAATCACTGAAGGCCCAACTCTTACATATAAAATGGCATAGTATTTACATTTACCCTTCACACAATCTTCTGCATAGTTGAAATCATCTCTAGATTACTTATCATGTCTAATAAAATGTAAATACTATGTAAATTATTATTACACTGCACTCTTTAAGGAATAATGAGAAGAAAAAAGAGTCCATACATGTTCACTATAAATGCAATTTTCTTTTCTGAATATTTTTGCTACTCAATTGACTGAATCTACTGATGTGGTACCCACAGATAGAGAAAGCCAACTGTATTTAATTTTATTATTTATCATTGTATTTAATATGCTTACTTAATTCAGGTTGAATCTCTTGAATTCCAGCAAAGTCACCAATAAGATCATATCACATAATAATAATTGAAATATAAAAAGCTGTCACATATAAACCAGCATCACACTCTGCCAAAGGGTTTGACTGAATACTGTCATCTTGCATATCAATGTACAGCATGTCTGAGTTCATTGTACAGAAAAGCTCAAAAGTTCAAACTTACACTTGTTCCCTATAACATCTCACACTGTTTCTCTCAGAACTGTTGGTCAGTGAGCTTTCAAAGGAATCCTATAGTTTATGGGAATCTTAGGTCAATCACTTAAGCAGCCCATTTATCCAACCCACCAGCCTTTAGTCAACCTGGAAGGATTCTGGAAGGATGGGTTTCTGTTACTATGAACATCAGAAAGATCTAATGTTAAGTCTGCAAGTAAATGGAGATTTGCTTTACTTACTAAAAGATGAACAGGCTAGAGGACAAAATAGGAAGAATGTAGTATGAGAAAATAACTAAGCTACAAAAACTAAACTATTCATATGATACACATTGCTAACCTCGCCTTGGTCTTTGTTTCTTACTTACATGGAAGCTAATACATACATAGTTAACTTACCTCACTCATTTGGGCAGTGAATTCCTTATCTACAGTGTTTCTTAGCCCTAGATGAAATAAAAAAAAAGAAAAATATGTTACACTGGCCAACTGGTTTGACTTTGTCTACAAGTCTACATAAGGAGAAAAAAAGATTCAAACAAATAAAATTCAAAGAAAGAATATTGAAAGAAAATATAGATCTTCTGCAGTTAAATTGTTCAAAATATCCTTCAAAAGACATCTCACTAAAACTGTTTATAATCTAGGGGAAGAACACCAAATATTGATGTGTAGTTTATAATCTCACTCACTAACAAACTTAACTCTGATCAATGTAGTCATCCATACAGAGCCAAAAACCACCGAAAAGAAAATATCCTCTAGGCATGTCCAATGGTGTCCTCTGGTTCCCACTCTAGGAGATTTAACGTTTTCTCTGCTTGTTTCCTGGAATTAAACCAGATTGGTTTCTGGGAAAGCATTCTGAGAACCCTGCCAGTTTCTAAATAGGCCAAATTGCTTTCTTAATACATGGATATCTTCATAATGGTTATGTACTCAGTCATTTGGACTGAAATGTCTTCAAATAAGTTTCTGACACTAAAAAATGTTACATGTAGAATTTTGATTCTTATTCTCTAGTGACTCCAACTTGGAAAAACATGGAGAAATAATTCACAAGCAAAACTCCCCTACATAAAAAGGTATTTTTGGAGAAAATAGTACTATGGGAATAAAAAAAAATGTTGCTACCACTTGAAAGTCTTCTGCAATAACTGTATTTTAGGAAGAGTTAATATATGGAAAATAGAGGTCTACCATTTGCATAGCTTTTTCACTACTGAAGAAACAAAATTCAATTGACAGAGCAATATTAAACAAATATATTAAACGGAAGCAATTGTAACTTGCAATGTTCCTTTTAACAGATTATACAAATCACTAATGGACAGAAGAATCACTGAGCCACCTGGTCTTTGTCTTTTAGTCTTCAAAACTGGGAGCTCAATAAATCTTTCTTTGTAAAGATATTGTGTTATAGCAACACAGAATGACCTAACACACCTTATAACAAATAGATGAAGAATAACGTTCTAAGAAAAAATATGTTTTGTCTCTCAAGTTGTGGTATTTGAGCATTGCCTTAAGGAGACTTTTATTTTCTTGAGAACAAAAGTAGTCAGAACAATCAAATAAGTACATGTCTTTAGCTAGATTTATAGAGCATTTTGTAATTCTATTTTTATGAAGAAGTTGAAAAATAGGGAGCACTAAACTCTCCCTCACCTAATTATTTTGGTTCCATTTATCATAAAACAACTAGATGAAAAACATTTTCAAACTGCTGTCTGTACTTGACATAATGTAGTTGAGAATTTAGAAAAAGGACACTACAAATTCTTGAGATTACCTCCCATCAGTCCTAGTCCTCCTCCACACTTTAACCTCTAAATTCACTGCTTCCCTTCCCTAGAATGAACAACTGCTTTCTTCCCGGGCTCACTTTTCCTTTCTATATTAGATAATGTCCTTTCAGGTCTTGCCCAAAATTGCCTCGGGAGCATATTTTGTCAGTTGTATACTTTTCTGAAAAACAGAAAGATTTAAGAGGCTAGATTTATTTTCTTACACTCTGTGTTCCCCCCTACACATACATACTGCTCATTTGTTCTCTCTCATACACACAGATGTTCACACACCACACACACTTCCACACTCATGGAGTATAAAGACATGGCTCTGTCAAAACAGAGACCCATCTCAATAGGCAGAATTTGAGCCCAACAACTCCAAGTCAGGATTTGGGTATTCCCCCAACTTCCTCTAAAAGGAATAGAAATGACTATTCTCTTCCTTAAAGCTAGAAACCCTGGATAGAAAAGTTTGACACCAATCACTGCAAAGAATCACCAAATAAGTGCCCCAAAATAAAATCAGCACAAAGACTTAGCTTTGAGTTTTCAGTAAAAGAACATTACTAAGAATATAGTGTCCAGCAAACTCAGAGTTCAAAAATAACCCTGGCATTTACCGAATGGTCTTCTCAGTTTACACTCCTACCAGCAGCATAAAATAAAATACAGTCATAAGCTGACACAATGACATTTCTGTCAACAACACACCACATGCAAGACAATGTTCCAATAAACCATAATACAGCCTAAGTGTATTGTAATAGGCTATATCATCAGGAAGTGTAAGTATACTTTATGATGTTGCACATCTATGAAATCATATAATTCTTAGACTGTGCCCCACTGTTAAATGGCTCACAACAGCATATGAAATCAAATATTCACATGACTAATAGCAGTAGTCTTATTAAACACAGTGCCTAATGCACGCAGCTTCACAGTCAACTTTTAAACTGCCTTTTCTAATGCTGACTGTTCATTCCTCAACTAAAGAATGAACATGGCAAATCAGAACAACCAGTCAACATTAACATTTTACTAGGAGTGTTGTTTACATAACTACTTAAATGTCTATTACACTTTCCTGTTGTAATTTCACTTTGAAATGTGGTAGATAGTAGGAAAATACCCAACTAGAGATCACTGATTGCATATGTGTTCAATTATGAAGAAAAAGACTCCAAGAAAAGGTAACAAATCTTAGAAATAGCGCATTAATTTAACTCTTTCTCTGGAAAGAAAACATCACATGTAAATCAACTGTTTAACTTTTTCTTATTTAATCATCAAAAGTAATTTAGGAAACACACAACATATGATTGAGGCTTACATAGATAGGTAAATTTGCTCTAAGAAATCCATTTATAGTTCTAAATGCAGAAATATAAGTAACTCCTAAAAATGATGCAATGGAACTCAGACATTTTTAACTTTCTTTGGCCAGCACTTTTGTTTTTATAACTGTGTCAGTAACTTCAGGAAAAAAGATATCTGAAAGTGTGCTACCAAAAATCTTCTCAATTGTTGATATTAAAATGCACATCTTTATTACAATGCACTTTCATAAAACCCCAGTAAAAACAGAGGTCTAAGTAATGCACAACAAAACCAATCCAGCAAAATAATCTATATTCTGATCTTAGATCTAGGAAGGTCGTCCACCCCACTCATTAGGCCCTCCTCTCAATACTTCCATGCCTATTTGCTGCTGGGGCTGGAGATGTATGGATAAATCTAAACACAGAAATTGGAGCAGTATGTAGTCAGCAGATTCAACCATCAAATAAATGGTATTTCTCAATCTTTTTCCACCTCCATCCATGTCAAAAGAACACCTTTGATCACATGAGGTTATATAAATAAATAGAAAAGGACTTTGCCAAGAAAAGACAAAACTGAAATCATCTGGGAAAAAGTTCTGAAACTTTCCTGGGATGGATTTATGCTGCATATGACCTCACACTAAAATGTTACTAATTTTAAGTATAGTTTCTACAAGTAATATCAACTTGAAGCTAAATTACATTAAACTTTCAACTGAAAGAGTGTAATAGTTAATTTCTGTAATGCTAGATAGAAATATTTCTTTATTCATTATGAAGAGAATGCTGCATCATATACATTTCCCTCTATTTTTTCTTCAAAGAACACAATTTTGTAATGTTATCTCATAGTTTTATCTCAAAAGGTCAGATCAAAAGGAATTACTGAATTCTTTAGGCTGAAAAAATATATTTAGACCTTTAGATTGCTGAAATTGCAACAGGAAATAATTCTCAGAAATGGATAAAAACATCAAGTGAGTATGGGAAGGACTTTCAATTTTATACTTCTGAAAGTTACTTGACTTTTTTCGCCACTGAATAACATTTTCCCTAGCAAATACACTTATTATATCATTTAGCAGAGCCATTTGTCAACATTTAAATTTTTAAACAGCTTTAGTTCCTTCTATCCTCAAATTATTTTTTATTTTAAAGAAGGGGGTATAAACTTCAAGAGACACCATCTAGAACAAAATAAAAAAAGAGGACTTACAGAATGGAAGAAAATATTTGCAAGTCATCAAATAATGCAACTCATACAGAATATACTAAAAACTATTGCAAATCAACAATAAAAAGACAACCCAAAATTTTAAATGGTCAAGGGATTTGAATAGATATTTCTCCAAAATACATGAATAAGTAGCAAATAAATATATAAAATTTGACACATTAATCACTGGGAAAATGCAAATCAAAATCTCATTAAGATACCATTTCATAACTACTAAGATGTTATAATAAAAACAGACTACAAGTGTTAGAGAGAATGCAGAGAGAATGGAACCCTTATACATTATTGGCAGGAATGTGAAACAGTGCAGACAATTAGAAAACAGTAGAAGTCTTTCAGACTGTTCAACATGGAACTTCTACATGATCCAGCAATTCCCCTCCTGGGTATATACTCCCCAAAATGAAAATACATGTTGATGCAAACACTTACAGATGACTATTCATAGCAGCATTATTCACAGTAACAAAACAACTGGAAATGGCCCATATGTCCACTACTCAGTGAATAGATAGGTGGGGACATCTCTATAATAGACTTGGCAATATAAATGAATGACTTCAAAAACATGCCAAGAGATAGAAGCCAGTTAACAACAGACTATATATTGTATGATTCTACTTACAAGAGATGTCTATATATAGGCAAATCTATAGAGACAGTAAACACATTAATGGCTGTCTGCAACTAAGGATAGGAAGTGAGAAAGATGGGGAATGACTGCCAAGAAGGTTTCAATATGGGGCAAAGAAAGTGTTCTAAAATCATTTTAAGGCGATAGTTACAAAACTCGGTAAATATGCTGAAAACCACTGAACTCTAAATGGATGCCTTTTATGGTACACAGAACACATCTCAATAAAACTGTTTCTAAAAGGGGTGAGAAAAGATGCAATAATATACTGTATTTGTATTCCGTAGTCCCTTTGAAGATTGAATAGTAAAAGTAGCTCAGATATTTTATAACTTCAAGAAATTGTTTTCACATTTATAGCTAACACTAAAGAACACAAGAAAACAGAAACTGAGGTCTTAGAGATAGCAGCAGAAAAATACGTGCATTTTTAGGAAAACACGTTTACAAGAATAGATCCACAGAATATTGGTCTGCCCAAAGAAAAGACCTTAGCAAAGAATGGACAAATATTTCTCAATAGAACTAACGCTGCAGTTAAAGCTTTTTATTTTATTTTTTTTTAAACAGTAGCATGCCCAAGAGAATAAGAATATCAAGCTAATAGACCTTAGGGCCTGCCCCTCCCATTATTAACAAGCATCTCAACGCATGACTGGTAATTGGCAAAGAGAGGTAGGCAAAAGGACTCAAGTGGCAGCTCTTTCCACGGGGGATTACTGTCATCACTCTAAACTGAGGCTGTCTTTGGGAAACCCCTCTTTCCTGTAGCTGGAATCCGCAAGCAAAGTGCACGTCCAGCGCGCACCTCCCTCTGAATTATTCTGCGGCTCAGGGCAGTTCAGGGGAGCAAGGGGGGTGGTCCCCAGATCTTCAGGGGCACAGGCTGGTTGCATGTCATTGTCACGCAGAAGCAGCAACGGAAATCGCGGGGCGCAGAAAAACTCACCCCGCCCATCCTACACAAGGACTGCCAGACCTGTGGTCTGTCTCTCGCGGGGCGCGCTCAACGAACGTCCCCAGGACTCAGGCCCCACCGCCACCAACGTCCCCCAAGGTCCTTGCGCTAGGGCTGGAGGGAACCCGGGGCAGCCCGCCCATCCCCCGCTCCACGCGGCGGCCTCCTACCTTCCTCCACCATTTGTAGGAGATGGGGGTCTCCCATCATCGCCAGCTCGTTGATGACACTGATGCCTGAGACGCGGGGACCAAGGAACCGCTGCGATGGGCAGCGAGACGTTCTGGAGGCGCAGCAACTGAATCGGATTGTAGGCTGCCGGAACTGCAGTTCCGGTTCCAGGGCGGTGACAAAATCGGAGGTCTCTGCCGAGCTCTCCCCGGCCTCCTCGTCCAACTCCACTGACTGGGGCTTCTTTTCCAGTTGGTAATGGCTTTCCTCCACACTACTCACCGGCTCTGTGTCCTTGAGCCTGCGCTCCTCTACCCTCTTCAGGTAGTGGGGTTTCTCATCCCTCCCCCTGTAGTACCTGTCCCGACTGCTCGGCTGGTCCAAGTTCTTCTCACTCGTTACCTCCACCAGCTGGCCTGTCAGCTGCTTCTCTCCACGCCACTCATCCTCAACACCCAGCGCCCCGCCCTCGGGCCCAGCTGGCTCCTGGCCGCCAGGCTCTTCTGGGCGCTGGCCATAGGAGCGCCCAGGCTCTGACTCCTCTACGCGCCCTTCCCCCTCAGGGCCCTCCGCCTCCTGGGCCGCCTGACCCTCCCTGGCTCCCAGTAGATTCCCTATTTTTACTTCACTTGCTGGGCCCACGCCCTACTTCTCTCAAAACCCTTCTTCTCTCGGGATCCCCATGGTAGGCCAGATGCCGGCAGCCTCAGACAGTAAGCCAGGTCCTCCACCACCAAGGGTGACTCTCTACCCACCAGGAGAGCCACTCGGAGAACCCCCCTCCCAATTCGGGAGTTACTTTTTGTCTGGTGAGAAAAAAACCTCCTTCCCTTAAAGGAACCCCTCCCCCTTTAAGGCGCATGGCCAGGGTCTCCTAGGTTCCAGCTGACTCCACGTGGTCAGTGTGGATATTAATTTTCCTCTGGGCCCTGCCCTACCTCCTGGATGCTGAACAGGATATTTTCTACAGTTAGGGGAAGGTCATACTCTGAGACCAGAGTTCGAAGTCAGTCTCTGCTCCTTAAAAGTTGGATAACATATAAGCTTCAGTTTCTTCATCTTTAGGTGAGAGGAATAGTTCTAACTTCCTAGGGGTGTTGCGAGGAGCACGATGTATATAATACTCGGGACAGAATGTTATAAATTTAGCTACTACTAAAATTAGCTCGTAGTACCTTGAGCCCTACACTGCCCAGAACTTCCACATGAAACAGTGAGTAGTGCCACCCCTCATAGGCCCCTACAAATTGGCTGTTTTATGAGACCCTATTGACTGTCAGCTCCGCAATAATTAGGAGGGAAAAATAGGTTGGAGATGGTAAGCTCAAGGTAAAGTAGACATCTACGCTCACAGCCTGGGTAGTGCCGAAGGAGTGACTGAGTTTGGGACAAAGTTGGAGTGATTTGAGAATAAGGAAGAGGTGATCAAAGAAAACTTGACTTTCTTCTTTACTCTTCTACTGTATCTCTCTGTCCACCCCACCCTTCTACTGACGTTTTAGAACCGAGAATCACTTTTTACAGATGAGGAAAACAGACTAGAAAGAAGTGTTTGGTGAAGGTCATGGTTTACTGCAGAACTAGAATCATTTTTTTTTTTAAATACTATCTATCTCTTCCCTATTTAAACTTCTAGGAATACAACGGTTTTGGACAAGGAATTCAAGACTATAAGCAATCACCTGCTTGATGTATTTTGGAGTTGTGTTTGAAAAGTGAATATATGAAGGCCAGCAATACATTTATGTGCAATTACAAGTTTTTGGTTATTACCTTTTGGTAACTAAACATTGGTAATAATAAAATTTTGATAACATGAATGTTTTTAATGTTCTCATTGCACATACAAAGTAGGTCAATATTGTGAGTAAACAGATGGGTGTGCACTTTGTTTTACATAAAATTAAAATAAAGACAAAATTGTTTTTCTATAACTCATGTAGATCTTTTTCATGTTTCTTGATTTTGTGCCTATTAGAAATAACATGTGGGAGAAGACATTACATGTTGTTTAGTTTGTCCAAAATTAAATGGAGTATTTTGATATTGAATTTGCTTATGTTTTATCAACATTCTTTGTTAACAAAAAGAAACTGTGTTCTTTGGTAAAGGTCCATATCTTATCCACAGCATTTTAGATCTTGAGAAATAGTCTGTATTCAAATCACTGTAATATTTTTGTTGCATAGCGATTCATAATTTTAAGATCTGTCCATTTCCTCCATCTCTATTCTGTGCCTTTGAATAGTCTAACTGCACATTTCCAGAATTAGGTTCTCAATAATGAATACATGTTCCTTTAATATAATTGAATACGTAGTTAAGAATGGTGTTGAGACCCAAAAGTTGTGGAGCATTTTTAGCCCTCTACATGATTTCATGCTTTGTTTTTACTCTTACAGGCATCTGGTAGTACCTTTGACTTGCCTTTTATGTCTTGTATAAAAGCATGAAAAATTATTTAAATCATACATGCAAAGCTGCAAAGATATAAATGGTGATATTTTGGCAATTAAACTGTCAACTTGAAATACTTGTTTACCAGGTGATGAGTAACTGTGTGAATTTGCTTTAGGAAAGTCACCTCCTTCCGCAGAGATGTCAATATTACGTTGTGTGAAAGAAAGCTGAGTGTGTAAAAATTAAACATGACCAACATCTGTATGTGGATTTTTTATTCTAGCAGCCTGATTGAACCAGTGGCCTTTACCCATATTGAAGAGCCTAAGCTCATAATGTAGACTTAGAATGTCAGAAAAGACCTTGGGATGTTAACTAAAAAAATCTCTCCCCCTTCTGATATTTAAAGCAAAAATATGGCACATCCAGTCTGGTCTAGATCAGTCTGAGTTTCTCTACATATCAAAGTTTTGACTCATAGACTAAGTTCCTGTTTTGACTAATTGCCATGCAATTTGTTTTTTAGTCCTAAAATGTCATATGTTCCATGCATTTTCAACATCCCTGTAAATCCACATAAAAATTACTTTCTCCAATGTGTGGAGCTTTGTACCAGAACTCAAATGACCTGCGTTCTCCCCTTTCCTGTGTCCCTTGAAAATGTAGGCACTACAATGAGCATGGAGAGATGAGTTGGCTTGTTTTAGGACTTGTCGCTTCTTGAATATTAAAATTCTTACTGCAGCTTCTCTCGAGGTCATTGTGAAAGCGAAGTAAAGTACATGCATTAAAGGTAGCAAGCAAAAGAAAATTTTATTGACTCCAGAAGTTAAGTAATAGATTTACCAGTAGAGAGGAATACTAAGTGTGGGTGGTGCTGCTTCACGCATTTCTCCAAAGTATGTAGACATTTTTCTGTCTCCAGAAATTCCCTACCCCATAGTTTTAAAGTAGAGGACAAATTATTTACAAAATTCATCACTTTGAATCCTTACTTTTTAGACTATAGACCATTACCAACAGCCCTAGATTTTTTTAAAAGCTACACCTTCATCTCTACCTATGACCTTGCATTCTTCCCACTCCTTAAAAAAAAGAGAAAAAGCTTACTTTACAGGCTGAACTGTGCAACAATCCTGGTCATCACAAAACAGTTTAATAGTTAGTACTCACATACATGCTTCATATTTGCCAGGATTTAGGATAACATGTCCCATTTTAATTAGAAAAATGGCATCAGTTCCCATATGAAAGAGATTATGGAGACCACTTCACTAAAAGATAAGGAACCAAGTAGTCATTATTCTCCCATATCTCTGTGACACAGCTAGAGTTACAAATGATATTCCTCTGCTTTCAGTCTTCCAATGGCTTCTTGTCACATACAAGGAAAAATCCAAACACAATTCTTGCCAGTAGGATGGTAAAAGCTATATTTACATGATCTGGGCCTAGCTGACTCTCCATTGTTACTTCCCACCTCTCCCCTCCCCAACCACACTCCAGCCATGCTGTTGTATTACTTTTCCTCAAACACAAGTAGTTTCCCATTACAGGGACCTTGCACTTGCTGGGCTTCTCTAATAACAATCTTCATGCAGATGCTTCAAGACTCATTCTGACATCTTTCAGTTTTTCATGCAGCTATCACTTCCTTGGCAAAACTTTGCAGATCACTTTAAAATAACAATTCCACACCACTGTCCACTTACTATGTGCCATTTGTGGCTATTCCAGTATTGCTTGCTAACTTTTATGTATTTATTTGCTTATGCATATTTGTTTGTATATAAGCTTCAATGGCAACTGAAGTTTTGTGCCTTCTCTTCCCTCTCATGTCTGTAGCACCTGGGATGGTGCCTGACACAGAGAAGTTCTCAGTAAATATCTGTTGAAAGAATAACATGATAAAAAGTCTTATCATCAAATTTCCTATTGCCTGAATCCAGCTAGTAGCCCACTGCTCCAGTGCCTCTGGCTTCTAAGCAACTGGGAGCATAATCATATGACACTCTTGGAGTGGCCTGTGGCTCTAAAAGTGCCAAGTGCTATTAAGAAAACTAATTTTCTAATTCTAAAGAACTATAAATTTTACCTTAGGAAACTGCTGAAGTCAGCAGAGTAAGAAAGAGTAATTCAGGAATTCAGCTTACCACCTGAATGAACACCAATCTCCTGCCTTGCCTCTTGAGAAAGCAAGCAAGGGCAGCAAATGACAGGAAGAGGGAGAGAGAGCTAAGACCCCTCAGTTTTAGTGCTGCTACCATCCTGCAGCAAAGGGTATCCTTTAGCATGATTGCATCCTCTTGTTTAAATAGGAGGTGCTTAGGATTATTGCACATAAACAACCCCCTCCCAAAATAAATTCAAATGTTCTATGCTACCTGCATCAAATAGTAAAAATGGGGGTACTTCTGTATTATCAAGTCCCTCTGCTCATCCATGAATAAACATTACCAAGGAGACTCTATCCAATGACTCTACATTGTGTTAGCCATCAAATATTCTTTTCTACCTTACCATGTCACTAAAAGAGACGATTCCCTCAAAAGTCATCTTTCCTTGCCTTGTATCAGTCATTAAATCCAGACACTTTTTCTAAATCCTCCACAATGTCTTTCAAGACCTGCACCATTCTCAGTCTCTCTCCATAACTCTGACTCTCCCACTCTTCAAACAGTGTGATGTGAAAGAGTAAGCATTTCTGGACCAGGCCAATCTGCTGGTTTTAAATTCTCCCTTAGCTGCTTGTGTAACTTTGGGGATAGTGGATTAACCTCTTTCAATCTTAGTTACCTAGTCTATATAATGGAAAGAATCATATCTACCAAGTGTTGTGGTTATGACACTAAATAATAATGCTGCCTTTAGCATCTAGTAGATATTAAATTAATGCTTCATCTTTCTCTTGTTCCTGTTATGATTTTCTTAGCTCTTTCACCAGTAACCATTGTTATTTATCTATACTTTTCCATTAACTGTCAATTATATGAGGCTCTCCAATATTCAGCTTCCCACTAAATTCTCATTGAAAATTTGTTAATTCATAAGAAATTTGGATGTCACTTATATGTTGTACCATGAGCCCAATTTGAATAAATATAACGTTT